GCACTCGACAAAGCAGTTCTGTGGGCAAACCCCACTACAAGTTTTTCGCAGTCTTTAGTTGGGATTTGAGGTAATAATGCTGTTGTGATGATTTGGGACATTTGCAGCCATATGCCAGAGATTGTTCCTGCAGTATTTGTTTGTGGAAGACTACATTTGAAGCCTGTATGTGGAATGTGGCTAATTGAATAACAGCAGTGATAAACACGAGTTTCTTTTTTTCCTTTTTTCTTTTTCTATAATAAGTTATTAATTCAGGTTTACAGCACTGTTAATGATGTCCAATAATGTTTATTTCCATTTTAGTCAAATTCTTACACAGATTACCTATCCCTTCTCTTCTGGTTCTTTTGCTTGTAGTAGTTGTGAGGGTCATTCAGAATTTACTGCTTAGATGGCTTGGCAAACCATCTGGGCGCTGATTCTTATCTTATCTTATATACAAAATGACAAAAATGAATCCATATAAATATGGATCCCTTTAAGTAGAAGCAACAGGATGTGATTAATCACTAAATTATTGAACTGCAGCCAAACTCAATAATTTTTTTTTCAATTTCTTTGCATAAGCAGCTAAATGTCGCGATACTTTGAACATATGATGCTAAAATGTATAGATTCATTTCTAAGTATGCTAATACACAAAACATCTGTTTCATCAAAAAATACACAAAACATCTGTTTCATATTTGCATAACATCCAAGACATGTCAATGTGGCAATGTCTGTTTGATGTTTACATACAGTAATGTCAACTCTCTCCGGATGTTCACTGGTGTACATACATCTAATGTAATTGTACCAATCAGAAACTGATTAGGTGCCAACGTAGTTTTCATTTCTGAATTTTTTTCTCATGGTGATAACTGCATTTGCTTCTTTAATTGCAAGGAGAAAGAATATGCCATAACAGGTTTTCCTAAATAATTATATTACTTAAGCGTGCTCCTAATTAGTCAGAGAAAAAAATAATACTTTATATGACCAAATTAAAGAGAAAAGCAGTCGCTACCTTGTAAAGTGATATATTATCAGTAATTGATGGTTTGTTTTCTTTTATTTGTAGTTAAGGTAAAGTCCAAAACACCAGTTGTATATTAACACAATACACAGTGAACCTTTCAACTTCTTCAATGCACCACTGCAATATGGCTTGCTACAACACTCTCAAGCTCTCTCTCTTCCTCTGCCTCACCCTCTCTGCCTTGGTGTACAGCAGCCACGATGACAAGGAAAGCAACAGGAACGACGAGGCTGACAGCCTTCGGTCTAAGCCTCTAATACTGGTCAAGATCTGGTGCTTGGTTTTGGTCTTTGTTGGGACATTTGCAGCCGGAATGTCACCCTACTTCCTAAAGTGGAACGAGGGGTTCTTGGTTCTAGGCACACAGTTCGCTGGCGGTGTGTTTTTGGGAACTGCTCTCATGCACTTTCTGAGTGATTCAAACAAGACTTTCCAAAGCTTGACTGAGAAGGAGTACCCTTTTGCATTTATGCTGGCCAGTGTGGGGTTCTTAATCACTATGCTTGCGGATTGTGTTGTTTCCTATGTGTATGCTAAGCAAGAGGGCAGTGACCTTGAAGTTCAAGGTAGGTGGTTTTTCTTGAGTTCTTCATTTAGGAATTAGGCACCATTCAGTTCTTCGTTTTGACAAGTACTTTGTGCTAATAACTGCATAGGCAGTCTTAGGATATTGGTTTTACAAGAAAAATATTTTTTACTTGATCAAATCCAATTACTAGGATATCTTCTACTTATACCCTAAACAAGATGCTGACTTCACAATTTTTATTTTCCTATTACAGGAAAGGACGGTCACAAGGTGAGATACATGAACTTTGATATTATATATGTGGGATGTATATAAGTTATTAGTAGGGTAAATGAACTTGCCAGACCTCTAGCACATTACGTTGCGAGATTGTGAAAGAGTACTCCACATTCAAACATATTGCCACTTTATTTATTGTCCAAATTCAATCTCACAACATAACATGTCAGATTGTCTGGTAACATAACATATGTGCCGGTTAGTAATTGCAACTAACTGAGCGTTTTGCTTGTACGCTTCGACAGGGCCATGGCAGTGGTCACCACCCTGCAACAGTTGGTTCAGTTGGGGACAGCATTTTGTTGATCGTAGCCTTATGTTTCCATTCTTTCTTTGAGGGCATTGCAATCGGAGTTGCCAAGACAAAAGCAGAAGCTTGGAAGGCTTTGTGGACAGTCAGTGTGCACAAGATCATTGCAGCCATTGCCATGGGCATTGCTCTCCTCCGCATGCTTCCGAACCGCCCCTTCTTGTCATGCATGGCGTATGCTTTCGTGTTCGGCATTTCGAGTCCAGTTGGTGTGGGAGTTGGCATCACAATAGATTCCACAACCCAAGGTGCCACAGCAGATTGGCTCTTCGCCATTTCCATAGGTTTGTCATGTGGGGTGTTCATATATGTATCCATTAACCATCTGCTGTCAAAGGGTTACACAGCTCAGCAGGCAGTCTCTGTTGACAAACCCCATTACAAGTTTTTGGCTGTGTTGTTTGGCATTGGAGTTATCTCTGTTGCCATGTTCTGGGACTCTTGAACAATCAAATTCATCTTACGGTTCCTTCGTATAATTTTATGTCATGAAATTAAAAGTCTCATGGAATACATCCAGGAAAGCATTTATTTTTCTCCTTTAATTTTTGGATTGAACACTCTAATGCTTGTCCATTTGGCTGATGCTTTATCATTTATTTTCTGTGTCATTTTGGGGAAGAATTGAATGTGGTTACGGCTTGTATTTTGGATTGTTAAAATAATATCAAGATTGGTTTCCTGTTTAAGCATAGAGTTAAGGTTGAGATAGCTGGGTCCTATCATGTTTGAGGGAGTTTGGGTCGTGAGGGAATTTGAAGAACGTGAAGGGTGGGTATAGGAGAGGCCTTGTGTGGAAGGGACTGACGGCTGAGGGAAGAGGTCAGGTAAGGGAAGGGAGAAGGTTGAAGTGGTCTGGCATTTGTTTTTTCTTTTAGTTTTGGGTTTTTTTTTTTGGGTTTTTTTTTTTTTTTTTTTTTTTTTTTTTTCTGATTTAATTTTGTTGAAAGTTAACGGTGTTAATTTTGGAGTTAAGGGCTGGACAAGTGTCAAATAAATAGAAAGGGGACATGCATGCGTATAAGATGATTTTCTCTTATCATGCTACTGACTAGGATCTCTCCTATTTCTCTCCCATCATTTTTTACTAAAAATTATGTATAGTTAGATGGAATGATTGAAAACTAATTCTCATAGATTAAAGGAAAGAAAAGAAAAAAGACAATGTGTAGTTTCACCTTACCCTAACAAGTAAGCAAGTAAATTACCTTAAGATCATACAATTCCCTACCGAGACAACAGAAACTCTCAACGGATCCTCCGCGCTGGGCATACCTCTTCTTAGGCTTCCAACGGAACTCCTTGCCGCCCCTGCTAGCAGAAGCTAAGTTATATATCAAAGAGGTATACCTGAATCATGTGTAGGATGGGGAGTGGTGACCCACGAGAGGCTTGTGAATACTATTTATTTCCTCAACTGACATAATAATCCACATTTGGCACATATAAAATTCTAGGTTGATTGATATCCATATGGTCTTGAAAAAAATGGTATATATTATTGGTTTGTTCTGATGTTGTTCAGTTATTGTGCATGCTATACTCTTTTGGTGGGTACCGGGTTTTGCTTCCTTTTTTTGTTTAGATAAGGCGATATTCACCAAAATGGACAAAAATGCTCTTATTTATTTTTGGATTTCCTAAGGAATCTTTTACATTTGCATGTCTTTGGTTTGAAAGTTGAGGAGTTTTTTTGTCTTTATTAGAAAAGTTTTGGCTTTTTCCAAAAATGAAATTTTTTTTGTGACTAAAACCTAAATTTATTAACTTATTTTCATTGTTATAATCCATAGTAAAAACCACATATATGTTTTGTTGTGTTATTTTCACTAAAACTTTGCTATTTATCTACACTGACAATTGTCATTTTTCTAATTTGTAACAGAGAATTGAAAACACTTACACATGAGAAAAAAGAAGAGAAGCCACCTCTGCAACCAAGGCAAGAAAAAAAAAAAAAATCCCCTTTCAGAGGACATTAAAACTGATGATAAACCAATGAGCAGTGAAGAGAGAAGTTCTATTGCAAATTAGAGTATATGTTTGTTATTGGAAAGGGCTTTAATAGTTTTTCACACACTGCTTGACATATAAAACATGTTATTTATCTATCTTTTGTAGGCTATAATAGTTTTTTGCACATTGCTTGGCATGTAGAACATGTTATCAATCTATTTTTCGTAACTTAAACTTACCAACATACCATAATTTAAATTTCCGCATGTATGTAAATAGTATTGTCTTTCCTATGTCTTTTTAGAACTATCTATATATTTTATATAGTTTTAAAACCTGCGGCATTGTGCGAGCACCCTTGCTAGTAAACCCTAAAGCAAAAGAACAAACTAACAAGAAAATGCCCAAGTGGCAATAAAGGCAGAAACATATGACTTGAAGTGGACCCCAAAGAAAGTCAAACCAAATTTATAATCAACCGGCAGGCAACAGTGCTACAAGAGCATCATGCACATAGTTAAGTTCACAGTAAACTTAAAACCCTTCTGATTATTGTGAAGGTGGTTCTCAATTGTTGAGGCTAAATAATTAGGATGTAGTATACTTGAATGTGATGATCAAGATATAACAAGTATAACTGATCTAGTGATTCCATATTGGTCCATAAAATCAACATTACTTTCCTAACTTACACAAGAACGAAAATTGTACAAGGATTTCATCTGCAGAAAATTGCAACAGTCTATCACCGAAACCTCAAATTGTAGCAATGACATTGACTTATAAATTATAATGGATACAAAGAATAAATCTACCAACTACGAATTACTTTTGCTCTGCAGAATCATCATATTATAGAATCTCTCACGCATACCTATATAACATAAGTCTCTCAACTTCATCTGTTACATTATTGTACATGAACTCTCGATGATCATTATTCATGAAACATATGAAAAACCTCTGTGGTAATCATAAATATTCAAAAAGGTGTCACTTCTTTGCGAGAAAAGTAGTGGCCAGTAGGACCGCCATTGGGGAGCAGCGCCAACCAGACAAGGCTTTCAGCACCTTCTTCGATGGTTAAGGTTCCAGTATTGAAGGTTATATCTGTGTTGACAAATCCAGGGCTCACACAATTGATGTAGAAGTTTGGGTACTTCTTGGCCAGAATTCTAGTGTATGCATTCACAGCTGTTTTTGAGACTGTATAGGGCGGAAAGATAGTTGGCCAGCTTTTGTTTTCTACCAAACCTTGTTTAAGGTCTTCTAAATGCTTAGCCAACACTGCATCTATTCTCTCTTCTGTAAGGCTCTCGGCATCACTTAGTACCTCTTTAGCCCATCCATTTGGAAAATTCTGAAGCAACATAAAAAACAGGAGAGTCTTTTGAGTTGATTTCAAAACAGGAACATAAAACATTAAACCAGTAGACTTCATTAAGAATAGAAAACACAAATTAAGAGTTAATGCATTTCAATTATGAAAGAACAGATTAGGACAAAGATTGTAGAATTCTTTGTCCAAGGCAAATAAGTTACTGAAATATTTAGTTCTGTTTCATCAACCATATTAACAACTAATAAGTGGAAACATGATCTTGTTAGGAGAATGTAAAAAGAGAAACATAAATTTGAAGCTTTTCATACCATAAGCTTAGAAACACCGGAAGAAACATTAACGATTCTTGGTGAATCAGATAGCTGGAGGAGGGGCAAAAGTGCTTCAGTCACTCTTTTGGTACCATAGTAGTTTGTTTTCAGGCTTTCTTCTGCTAACTTGTAGTTCGGTATCGTCGGTATTTCCCCCCAACGGATTTCTTCAGGCTTCTGCATCCAGTAGAAGAAAGTTAATCCTCATGAAAGTTTTGCATCATTACTTTCCTAACTTATAAGTCATAAGAGAATGAAATTTGTACAAGGACGGTTGGTATTCCTAGAAAATTTCATTGCCTAAGCCCCTAACCTCACCTCAAACAAGGAAATCGTTTTCCGATTAGAAGCACAGCAACGAATTGCAAAACATGAAGAACAAGAAGCAGCATCCAATTTGACTTAATGATGAAGATATATATGATATGCAACACAGAACCTTACCTTACCACTTACAGCTGATCTAAAATCTTCAGGATTTACTTGGCTTCCAGCAATTGCTGCATTGTTCACCTACACAGTACAACAGTTCCAAATATTTCATCTTTTTATGTTTATCTCAACTTAAAATATAAATCAAAGCAAGTATCATCATTATGTAATTAGATATTTATATGAAAAAAATAGCAATAAATATTATGCTTTATTGCTATAAGAAGTAACAAATCAACTTAAATTTCAAGATATACCAAGATATCAAGTTTCCCAAATTGGGTTTTGACAAAATCTGCCAAGGAAGTAATGCTAGAAGGATCTGTAACATCAAGCTGATGGAAAACCACAAGGTCAGAGAGGCCAAACTCTTTCAATTTATCAACAGCTTCAAGACCCCTCTTCTCATCTCTAGCAGTTAACACCACAGTGACCCCATGTGAAGCCAACTGCTTAACTGTGCCAAATCCAATCCCTTTATTAGCCCCTGTGACAACTGCATACCTGAAAAAAGAAAAAAAGAAACCCAATTTTGAAAGATAATAAGAAATCTTCCCAAAAAAAAAAATGTACATAGAAGAACCAGGCACTACCTCTTTGTTGTTTCTGCCATAGTTATTTGTGGCTTATTTCTAGGCCTCAGACAGAGAACCATTATTTATACTTGATATTTTACTTGGTGCTCACGCTCAAAGTCATATTGGTCAATGCAATGTGGTCATATCTCAGTTAGTCTTTGAGTTTCTTTTTGCTTTTGACATTTGAAGTTTCAAGTTTCACCCATTCGTTTTGGTTTAGTTTCTGGGCCTTTGGGCGTCTTTTTATTTTTTTATTTTTTTTATAATTTTTTATAATAGCTTTTGACAAAAGATAGTGTGCTTGATTTGAAATAATACAAATGTTGAAAATGGTTTCTTTTGTACCCATAAAGTTTCCTAACCTATTTGCATATATTTCTCAGAGTACAGAACTTCCAATCTTTCCATATATCAACTTGAAATAATAAATAAAAATTCAAGCAAAATGTGTTCTCTATTTCATGAATTTAAGAAACTGCAGCGATTTCCAATTTTTTTTTTATACTGCAGAATCATCATATGAAATCTCTATAGGGAAGGTGATCACTCACATGCCCTTCCCCCTTTATAACTCCCCCAATTTTTTTTGTTTGTCACATTGTACATTAACTCTGGACGATCATTATTCCCATGTTACATTGTACATATACTGTAAGTATTCAAAAAGGTGTCACTTCTTGACGGAGAAAGTAGAGGTCGGTAGGACCGCCATTCGGGAGAAGCGCCGACTGTTAAGATGCCAGTATTGTGGTTTGTTTTCAGGCATTCTTGTGCTAACTCGTAGTTTGGTGGTGTTGATACTTCACGCCAGTCGATTTCTTCAGCCTTCTGCATTTAGGAAAAGGCATGTAAAACCCTCTTGCAAGTTTTGCATCATTACTTTCCTACACTATAAAATAAAAAAATAAAAAAATTGTATAAGTGCTAAGAATGGATATATAACTAAATATCTATAAAAAAAATTTGTTCTTTCTCCTCCTGATTAATTAGTGAATAAATTCTTCCTTGAACCCCAAGGTTTATTTTTATTTCCTGTTCCTGTAAAATCTTATTGGGCTTGTAAAGTATCCGAGGTATGTGCCTTTGGGCCCCCTTTGAGACCAATAAAAGAGGCAAGTTTGGGCCCTTAGCTGTACGGTTAACAATATCAAAGAATCAGTGGAACTTACTTGCAAGTAAGTCGTGTATTGATCTAAATTCTAATCTCAAAGAAACATGTGCTCCATAAAAGTTTCTCTACTAAGAGGAATGTGGTTAACAATGTATGCAACTAATTTTGTTCCAATTTCTAAAAGCTAGGTTTGAGAACCAACCCAATTCGGCAGAGCTTTCCATTCATGAATCAAAAGGAGAAGAGTTGGTGGGTCGTATGGGGAATGTGAAACTGCAATCAATGAGAGAACTCCAAGAGGCCTCAAATGTCACAGGCTTTGCTCTTTTACATGCCAAAAACCAAGTCGCAGGCTTGCCTAGCCCATATGGCTTCTTTATGTTGTGTGTTTTGTGTATAACAAAATACCCTCACATGTGGACGTCACATGTTCAATTTTAACGAAAAAATAGATGGAATTCGTTAGAGCACCTCCACTCCAAAGGGCAAAGGCAAGACAAGGTTTGTCACTATTCACATTAATAGTTGCAGCCCTTGCCTTTTTTGTTTTTAACCCAAAGGGTAAGGACAAAGGTAATTACTATTCAATTTTTTTTATTTTTTATTTTTTATAAATAAACCATTGATTTTGGCGTGGATGGTGAAGAATATGACTAGGTATTTATATATAAATTTTTGGTTTTTTTTTTTTTTCCGTTGCTGACGTCAGCAAACACAAGCAACAACTTAGGCTTGTGGAGCTCATCAACTGCCTTGTCTTGACGTTGTGCGCTGGAGCCAATTGCTGGGCCTAAGCCCCCTCCTGCTCGGGCAAAAGAACAGAGTTGGAAGTGCTCTTAGAGGTGACACATTATTACCCAATGCAAAGTCTAGGTGCGACATTGTCAAATTTTTTTTTCTAGGTGGTTATCACTAGAAAATTTCTATTAAGCCAAGAAAACAAAATTGTTGATGCAATAAGTCTCAAATTATTGATCTTCTTCTTGTTTTATTCCATAGCTCTAGTAAATTCCTATTGAGCCAAGAAAACAAAATGGTTAAAGGTTAGTAGAAATTCCAAAAAGAAATTCAATCAAGCTCCTTGATCAAGGAATTAAAGAAATACAGATTAAGGGCAAAGTTTTCTCCAATATCTAGATATAAGCGCAGGGACACAAGAGTTTGAGAAATTGTTGTTACACCACACCAAGATATCTAAGTATGACAATTTAAAATAAAATAAAAAGAGGATCATTATTTCATGAAATTGGAAGCTCAAAAGGGTGAGACTTCTTGTAAATAGAAGTAGAGGCCAGAATGGCTGCCATTTGGAACCACAGCTAACCTCACAACACTCTCAACACCTTCATCAATGGTTAACATACCAGTATTGAAGTTCATATCTGTTTTGACAAATCCAGGGTCCACACTATTGATGCAGATGTTTGGGTACTTCCTGGCCATCATTCTAGTGAATGCGTTCACGGCTGCTTTCGAGAGTATATAGGCAGAGAGGGAAGTAGGCCAGCCTTTGGTTTCTAGAATATCTTCTTTGAAGTCTTTGAGAAACTCATTCAAAACATCATCTATTCTCTCTTCTGTAAGTTTCTCAGCATCACTTAACACCTCTTTGGCCCATTCATTTGGTATGTGCTGAAACAAACATGCATAGCAGGAGAATTTTTTTGAAGTTTTCTCATTATGAGAAAATGCATATAAAAAACATTTTCATTTGAAAAGGGAAACCTCTTGACTACAGCAGGACTCAAATACAACAAGAAACAAAGGGCTCAAGAGGTGAAAATTGAAACAACAACTTGATGAGATGCCAAAAATATGAAAACTCTTTGTACCTTTAACGATCCCATGCCGGAAGAAAGACTGACAACTCTTGGTGAATCAGATAGCTGAAGGAGAGGAAGGAGTGCTTTGGTCATTTTCTTGGCACCATAGTAGTTTGTTTTCACACATACTTCAGCTAACTCATACGTTTGAGTCATTATTTCACTCCAATTGACTCCGACACCATCCTGCATCAAAGAAAATAAAGACTGCATTTATCTAGTGCATTTTTCAAATTAAATATTTGTATTTGAAATTTTATATATGAGAAGTTTTAATCAAATCCACATATAATTTGGAATCTTTAAGATGCTAAAGGAAAACTTACCTTACCAATACCTGCAGCTGCAGCAGCTCTCATAGCTTCAGGGTCTACAGTGGTTCCACTAACCCCTGCATTATTTACCTATAGATTACCAGTAAACATAATGGAAAGTCAAAGTACTTTTCATAGTTATATGAATTTTTTTAACATGAGCATGAACAGAGAGATAGAGAAGTTGATCATACATACGGTTTCTTATCATACCAAGATATCTAGTTTCCCAAATTGGGTTTTGACAAAATCTGCAAGGGAAGCAATGCTAGCAGTGTTTGTTACATCAAGTTGATGAAAAACGACCAGGTCAGAGAGACTCTTTCAATTTTTCAATAGCTTCAAGACCCATTTTGTCATCTAAAGCAGTTAACACCACCATGATCCCATTTGAAGCCAACTTCCTAACTGTTCCAAATCCAATCCCCTGATTTGAACCTGTAACAACTGCATACCTGAAATAAAAAGAAAAGAGAAAAGGAAAAATGGTATTAAAATTTACTGAAATATGGGTTGTGGTGGCCAAGGAGTCTGATACAAGTGAAGCTTAAAAACATCATGGAAGCAGCAGGTAGTACTTCTTCGCTACTTCTGCCATTGTTGATGGGATTCTAGATTTGATTTCTCATTTCTGAATGACCATATAACATGGGCTTTGTTTCTATAGTAATTTTTATTCTCATCATATTTTTAAAAATATTCAAGTCCTGGTCTTCGATTGCTCTGTATTGTTTGTAGCTACGTTCTTTTGTAGATGCTCTCTTCTTTTTTGACTAAACAAATCAAGGTTGATCCAACAAATGAAACAAATTAGCAATAGTATTATAATGCAATTTGAATCCAATATCAAATTTATTATGTTAGTGAAGGATCCACTGACAATATGTACTAAAATAAAAATAGGAAACGATATATGTATTTAAAAAAATAGTCTCACTCACAAGCAAAAGAAACATATAGGTGTAGCATCACCCAGCTAACCAACAAATTAAAGTGGAGAATATCGAAGAGCTTAAGCCGCTACGATTAGGCCAATAATTTATATCAAGGTGATGGCCTACTTTGGTCCCATTACACATGAATAATGCATATGTTTTGAGGAACAAGCATGTGCGGTTAGCAGATTAGCACTTAGGAATACTTTAGAGAATATATTTCCTTGTATTAAACAAGTTACATAAAGTCCCTATTTATACAAATATAGGAAGTCTACTTAAGGTCGGAAATAATATAGACATGAATACCATCCAATTTACAACAAGAAAGCTAATTGCTAGGAGGAGATTATGAAGTTGATTTCCGTGTGTGCTAGGAAAAGAAAGCTTCGTCCCCCTCTCCCCCCCGCCCCCCCTCCTCCCCCCCCGCACACTGTCGCAGTATGCACAAGTTTGGAAGACATATGTTGATGACGTGGTTTGTGAAGGGCTTTTGTAAACAGGTCCGCATGTTGATCAAGCAAACTTTCACGGACAAAGTGGTAGTCCAACTCAATGTGACGTGTGTGGGCATGGAAAACTAGGTTGGCGGCCATGTAAGTGGTGCTGAGATTGTCACAATAGAGTAGGATCGGGAACTGAAGACGCACACCCAATTCATGAAGAAGGGAGCAAAGCGAAGTGATTTCGGCACAAGCATGAGAAAGGGCACGATATTCCGATTTTGTACTATAGCGGGAGACAGTGGGTTGTTTCTTGGAACACTAGGAGATGAGGTTGGTTCCAAGAGTAGTCACATAGCCAGTGGTTGACCGATGAAAATCATGGTACCCAGCCTAGTTAG